CATTGAATGACACGCTAGCAGCTCCGACATGATTAATTCTTATCAATGACATATTGATTGACAAGGCGTGGGCCTCGTACTATTAGCAACCGTTGTGTATGTATATGCCAGTCAAAACGTAATTGACATCACTTCCTGTTATGCACGTGACTCACAATCACATGTTCAATACTCTACAGCCATGGTCATAATCCAGCGTTTGGAAAATTATATTTAGGTTTGCTTCGCAACACTGAATGGAAATGACCTAAAATATTCGCTGATGGAACTTGATTTAGCCCCGTTGGTAGTTGATGACTTGTGTTTATTTCCTTGTATTAATCATCTTTTGAAAGGAGATTCACGGACTGGATCCATTTGGACACACAGCTGAATTGGGATTTTATTCCAAGTGCATCTCGTACAGGTTTGAATAAGCAGCACCCTTAACGATGTGAGGACCTGCTCAAAGGACCTGCTCGAAGGACCTGCTCAAAGGACCTGCATGAGGTACTGGAGGCCATTTCTGACCCTCAATCTCCACACGATGACCGAATTAGAAAAATATATGCGTGTGCAATGGATATATATGGGATATATAAATTTGCTATATTTTGACATTGGTTTCAGTTCTTAAACCTTGATGGGACAGGAGACTCAAGTTTGTATAAATCAGCTAGGGACCGACCATTTGATAATCTGGGGCAGGCTGACCGGGGATGGAGAAACATATATTGTCCATGAAAGTGATTGAAGAAAATAATTTTGCTTCAGACTGTTGACAAAAAAGAAATTGTCTGCCACAAAAATATATTGCTGTGAGATGATAAGAAAATATACTGAACCGCAAAAGAAACGTCACCATGGATAGATATATATACGAGACCGTATTTGTCCAAACACTGTAAACATACTTTTAGACATATTAAAAAGATGAAACTTGGCAAAACTGATAATCAAGGTTGAAATTAAAATGTCAAATGTTCTTAAAGTGAAACACAACATTATTCTCTGAGAAAGTGGCATCACAAGTCAGTATCTCGTGTGTCCGGCATGTTCATTGATGACTGCCGTGCAACATCGATACATGGAATGGATGAGGCGGTTGATGAAGGCCATAGGCGCTTGAGCCCACACTCTGAGGAACTGGCGTGTCCCCATGGTCTGTCGAGCAGTTTCCGCAGCAGTAACAAAGCGATCTTGAAGATCTGTCACACAATCTGACGATCCTGACGTCGGGTGATGAATCTTGTCCTTCCACTACGTGGTCGGTCATCTGTAGTCTTGGTGGTCTGGTACCGTTGCTGGAGCCTGTATATGGTCCAAACGTGGACTTGAAATGCATTGACAAAAATTACCCAGATATTTCAATGACAATTTTTCATGCAATGTTACTTGGGGTGACGTTTCTTTTGCGGTTCAGTATATTTAGAATCATAGTTTTATTTAATAAATATCTCGTTTTGCAGCTGTAGCTGAAAAGAAATATCTAGTGTCCATACAACAAATACTAATTGTGTGCTTCATTCGTATTTATGAGAGGTCTTGCAACATGTTATTAAATTCGTATTATGTTCAGAAGTGTTGCCGGACTACTCAAGCGCAGGTTCTTTCAGCACCTCAGAATCCAGATATGCCCGGTATCACTGATTTATTGATAACCTGTTCCTTGGCAGAATGTTGAATAGGGATGATGTTTTTGTTTGTTATTTAATTGAAGGAAAGATTGCCATGAATGAATAGCGGGGACATGTGTGGTGCGTGAGCGGAATGAGTGAGTAGGGTTGGACATTATTTTAGTTTTATCCCTGTGTGTCAGTTTTAAATGTATCGAATAGAAAAGTTCGTAGACACACACGACTCTATTTAGTTTTAAATGTGTGGAATAGAACAGTTCGTAGACACACACGACTCTAATGAAACCAACGAGGACTGTATGGTGTTAGAACCTTGTGGAAATAAAATATTGATTGACAAGCGACAACTAAGACTATATGAGATGTCATACTAGCATACCAAACTGACCACGCTAATATCCAGAGGTTCCACGTGCGCACGGATGAAGAGCAAGCACTGACTGATGATGATAATCGGCGGGATGTGACGGCACGTTAATCAAGACAGTTCACAGTAGATAGATCGGGCTTATCCGTCGTATTGGCATTACTCATGGGCTCGCCAGTCACGTTGGCATTACTCATGTGCTTGTCAGACACGTTGACATTACTCATGGGCTTGTCAGTCACGTTGACATTACTCATGGACTTGTCAGTCACGTTGACATTACTCATGGGCTTGTCAGTCACGTTGGCATTACTCATGGGCCTGTCAGTCACGTTGGCTTTTCCCTTGGGCTTGTCAGTAACAAAGGCATTACTTTTGGGCTTGTCAGTCACGTTGACATTACTCATGGGCTTGTCAGTCACGTTGGCATTACTCATGGGCCTGTCAGTCACGTTGGCGTTACTCATGGACTTGTCAGTCACGTTGGCTTTTCCCTTGGGCTTGTCAGTAACAAAGGCATTACTTTTGGGCTTGTCAGTCACGTTGACATTACTCATGGGCTTGTCAGTCACGTTGGCATTACTCATGGGCCTGTCAGTCACGTTGGCATTAATTTTGGGCTTGTCGGTCACGTTGGCATTACTCATGGACTTGTCAGTCACGTTGGCTTTTCCCTTGGGCTTGTCAGTAACAAAGGCATTACTTTGGGGCTTGTCAGTCACGTTGACATTACTCATGGGCTTGTCAGTCACGTTGGCATTACTCATGGGCCTGTCAGTCACGTTGGCTTTTCCCTTGGGCTTGTCAGTAACAAAGGCATTACTTTTGGGCTTGTCAGTCACGTTGACATTACTCATGGGCTTGTCAGTCACGTTGGCATTACTCATGGGCCTGTCAGTCACGTTGACATTACTCATGGACTTGTCAGTAACGTTGGCTTTTCCCTTGGGCTTGTCAGTAACGTAGGCATTACTTTTGGGCTTGTCAGTCACGTTGACATTACTCATGGGCTTGTCAGTCACGTTGGCATTACTCATGGACTTTTCAGTCACGTTGGCAATACTCTTGGTCTTGTCAGTCACATTGGCAATACTCTCGAGGTTGTCAGTCACGTTGGCATTACTCTTGGGCTTGTCCGTTGTAATGGCATTACTCTTAGGCTTGTCAGTCACGATGACATTACTCATAGGCTTGTCAGTCACGTTGGCATAACTCATGGGCTTATCAGTCACGTTGATAATACTCTTGGGTTTGTCAGTCATGTTGGCATTACTCTAAGGTTTGTCAGTTACGTTGGCATTGCTCTCGGGTTTGTCAGTCACGTTGACATTGCTCTAGGGTTTGTCAGTTCAATGGCATTTCTCGTGGGCTTGTCCGTCGTATTGACATTACTCTGGGGCTTGTCAGTCACGTTGGTATTACTCTTTGTCTTGTCCGTCATATCGGCAGTACTGAAGGATGTGCTGTGACTCATATCATTACGTTCTTGTAAAATGTCTCTATGATCATATAATAATCCCCATAATCAGGCAGGGACGGGACACGTGAAGGAGATTGTACGTGCGCCTCACACACTCGCATGGCGCTCAGGCCGTCGAACGAAAGATTAGAGAGATTAAAAGTCACTTTTTAACCAGTTTGTGGTTGAAGCAAACCTAATTCTGAATGGACCATTGCTCAGTGTATATGTACACGTCGAGCAAACGATTCTTGCTAGACTTGTAGCTGTTTCTGGTGTTGTTGATCTTCCTGGTGCTGCATATCATTCACGATAGAGAGCCCAAACATGTTTAGCCTGTGAATATCTTAGCCACAAGTAATTGAAGTTTTGCAACTCGATAAATTAACTATTGCGACAATTTAAAACAACATACTGGTGCATAACCGACTCCTCCTGGTTCATATTCCTGCATGAAAGTGCAGCCAAGGTATCCGTGGCGCCAGTATCTCGTTTACTCCACAGTAATCTTCGACCCATGAAGTTCCAGGGTAGAATAGGTCTTCAGCAACCCATGTTTGCTGTAAAAGCCGACAATGCTTGTCGTAAGAGGCGACTAGCGGGATCGGGTGGTCAGGATCGCTGACTTGGTTGGTGCATGTCATCGTGTCCCAATTGCTTGGATCGATACGCATGATGTCAATCACTGGTCCAATCGAATATTTACAGACCACCGTCATATAGCTGGACTATTGCTGAGTGTGGAGTTAAACAACAAACAAACAAACAAACCACCTTCAACCACAGAAGAATTAGCATCCCTTCATATATGTCAAAGTCCAAATTCACGTTAATTATAATGTTAAGTATGTGTGATCAGGTTTCGGCCATGTATTGTTGTCACTAATTAGAATCATTCCATCTACAAGCTCAGCTTCTTTAACGATTTGTTTTCGCGTGCCCCAAATTCCCACGAAGGCAACTTTATTTCCGAAATCTCCACACAATGGTGCGCTTTTCAGACACTGGTTTAAACTGTATTTGCATCGCGTCTCATTTATTCGATTCGCTGCTTTAGCCCTTACCTCACCTCATCATTGGTTCTGCTTGTGAACTTGACACTTAGGGCATGGGGGAGGACTCTGTACTACTTTGTCCTCACTGACGCCAGACATTTCCCCTTCATATCAAACAGAACGTACACACAAAGAAACACAGTCTTACTCTGATCCTGCTCATTTAAGGTACCCATCACAACTTGGAATTGGATTCCAATTTGAATTGTCACCAGGGTTTACCGCTAGATACCGATTTCAGACAACAGTCCAGCCATTTCGTGACACATTGTGCACTTTATGATAAAAGCCTAAAACTTGGCATAGTTATCGATTATGCAGGTTAAACCTATCCTTGAATGTTGACAGATCTTGCATATTGTACCAGGGGAGTTGGTACACGCGTGTTCTCGTTGCGCGGAACACCCGAACGCGAATATTGCTAAAAGGGCCGTGAAACCATATCCACTCACTCACATTCACTCATATAGACAGTATTGTTACACGTATCATGTCTGTTTCAGAGGATGGTTCCCACATTCTGGTGCGACACTGCAGCAACGACAACTGGGGCAGTCACTGCGGCCTCATCAGATTCGAATACGAGAGAAGGACTGAGAAGATCTACGGTTGTCTCGAGTCATGTGATCATGACGGCTGTAATGGCGGCGTAGGCGTCGCAGCGCAAATAATCACAACCCTGCTGTCGAGTATAGCAGTTGCCTTCGTGGTGTGGTGAAAACTATTAAACTTTACGGGGATTTTTCTTAACTAAATTCAAACCCGATCAAAAGACGCACTGAGGAGTCTTTTCCTTTCGTTAACGGTTGTGAGTGGAGATTAAACATGTCAACATTCCGACTCCGATATCAGATCCACATCTATGCATGAGACCTTTGTTTCATATGCACTATATTTTTTTGTATACGTTACCTCCTATCTGTGGTTTGGTCGGAGAAGAGTGAGCTCAGTTGGCTGACTGTTCGCTCTCTGGAGATAGTCAAAGCAAATATAGTATATCTGTGCGGAGTGTTTGCGGATGGCGGAATCGAACGGAGTACTGTTACTTCTTGGGTGTAAGAAATGGATACAGTTTAGGACCTATGCTATATCCCAACGTTGTGCAGCGCATATACGTCATGGCATATATCTCAAAATCCACAGTGATATGATTGAGTACCCCCAAGCATGGAGACGAAGTGGCGTAGAAGGAAAGTCGTAAGTTCTAGCGTGGAAGAAATGGAACACATTCACACGGTGTTGAGTGCATCGGACATATTTAATAGGATGGACCAGGGACTGTATCCGTACACAATCAGTACGAAGCTTGTATTCAAGTGCATGCATGCACACAATAGCATGCATACACCCGCCGTTGATGAGGGGACTGACCTACATCCTGTACAGGTGGAAGGGACGCAAGTGCAATATGAATGATCTCCCTAAACCAGAGTATTTAGATTGGGATATGCATCGTAAACGAGACAAATCAACATCTGTTTGCGTTTCTTACAGATATCATTTTTGCGACACCATGGCACATCTCGCCGATATTATCTGAACCGAATTTTGAGAATTTTAACGAGATTGTTTGCCAGCACTTGGCGCCAGGACTTTTAATCCGATATCATAATATTCCATCAGCATGTTACGTCATTGTGTGTCCATCCACAGCAGCTAGTTCCTAAAAATCAAAGAAAGGTCTTTGACGACTGATCAATCATAAAATCCGGTATATACCACAAAGATAGCTCACACCCTCCTAGAAATTGGTTCTGCTTGTATGCGACCTTGTCCTTTGGACAAGGGAGTGCACTTTAGTGCTCCTGTAGATACAGTTGTAGATGAAACATCTGCATTCATTCAACGGGAGAAGCGACAGAATCGCCATTGGTGGTTAGACATCGAGTCGTGTCCATATTATTCAAACCTGGTAGGGACCTTCACTGATGCAGCACCGCCGCACAAATACAGACAATGATGTCTCTCGGTTGATGATGTGATTTTGGTTTTTTGGTTTTCGTTACACGTGTCGTTGTTGAATACTAGTTGGACACCATAGAAGATTTCATCTTTTGTTTTTACGGGCTTCATGTGTAGTAGTGTAGACTCACTCCATTGCTTGCCCCACACAGTCGAGCGTCTGGATTGGCTTGCCCCAGTGCCAGCTACTGCTATGGCTCTGGTTGGAAACGTTGTAAAAGCAAGAGACGAAAACACTGACAGGTTGGCTATAACACTCAAATATTACACGCGCAGCCAGCCCGGAGAATAGGAATCCATGTACACAGGTCACATGTTAACGTGTTCATTAAACGGGTCTGCTCTATCTCCATAATTTGATTTTCCAGTTTGTGAATTCTTAATATTTAATGATGTGAGGTAAATGGTAAATATTTATCTGAGCTGAGATTCATGTTCAAATGAGAATGAAACAAAAGTCATTTTTAAAGTTAAATTCTCCCAGTTTATCCAAAATCCAAGGAATGGGTGATCAGTCATGATGGTCATACGTTTTCTCTTGCCCTCAAATATTTTCCAGAAATTAGCTCCTTCTTAAACATGAGAATGATCATTCCATGATCCTGAGAATTTATTGTAGTACTCTGTCCTCTCGCCTGTTGTGTGACGTCATCACACCAGCCCCAAGAGGAAATAGATGAAATAATGTTAAGACTAGACTGGCAGATCGCTTGATGCACCAATGTCCTTTCAATCTGTATTAATGGATATTGATCATATATGGTCACAGTGCTAGAGAATCTAATAGTCGTTGAGGCTGGAGGATTGTTGCTTCAAACCCTGGTGCTACGACCAACAGCGAATTCACAATTTCATTTAAAGTTATTTTTGTGATTGGTATATGGCTAGTCTGTTGTTTAATCATTAAAAAAACTTTAATATTGAGCTGACAACTGTCAACTATGTCCTGTTCAACATCTTGCATCACATGTAATACCATGTCAGTGACATGTGTTGTTTTTGCCCAGTCACTATTACGGGTCTACATTGAGGACTAGATGACCACAGCTCATTCCTGATGGGTCTTGCATGTGTGTGAGCTGGGCGTGTCTGTTAGTCAGGTTCACCACGTTTGCCGTCGTGACAGATGACTGCGACGTACAACATACTCACTGTTCACGAACTAGGTCCAAACAACTTTCAACTGTGTGAAATGAAGCGTTTTCTCTTAAACGTTAAATGTGTTCCTCACTTACATATTCAGCAACTGTTTTATAATAATCTTTTCCTTTCGCTGATGTATCTCTCTCCTGATTCCATGTGTGGGGTGACCGTCAGCCTACTGGATCATCTCCTCTCCTTAATCTATATTGTGTTCTCGCATTTAAACTTAAACTTTTGAACTTGTCAAACCGAGTTATGGTTGAATGTTAGCAATATCATTATCTGTTTACCTTTATTCGTTAGTTTATATTCACTATTCGGGTTAAATGTTAAATGGCTGGTTTGATTTTTGATATGCAAGTACGAACACGGTTTCATGTCAGAAGCGTTTGAAACGCTTCACAAATCTGGATGTATCCCACTCCATATGGGACTTACAGTCTCTCAACTCGTAGGGGTGTGAGCAGAGCAGTCTAGAAATGTTCCCATATAATAACTTAAACTGAAATATACATGCCTTCGTTCGTTGCCTGAGATGAATGTAATATTTATATATACAGGCCTACCCATTTTGACTTTTTTTTCGTCAATTATTTATGTGATACTCGTCATTTGACAATCTTTGTGAGTGCCCCACCCAAACAATCACGAGGCATGTTTGCCCCCTCAATGTGGTCGTCGCTATTTGTATCATAGTTATCGTGTATTTTCACGGTTAAGTTTCAAATGTTTATTATTTCCAACCTGTGATTGCACCGTGGTTGTGTGTCGTGTTATTACAAGAGTTGTCTCCCCTACACCACTCACCGCCCGCATGCTCATCAAGACGATTTACACACACAATGATGTTCTATTGATACTCAAATTTGCTTGTGTCGCATTTCAGCAATTACATTCAGTTTGTTGATGTGAAATAAAATTATATACATGATACGGTTTCTGGTCTGTCATTATTCATACAGTTGTCTACGACCTTGACAATCAGTGTATTGGAACCTGATAGTATAATGAGTTTACGTACATTTATTCATCTCAATCGACCCTTTGCCGTGCTCCGTTCGCCATTGACGCCCTTGGCCTTGACATATCCCGTGCTGCATATTTTATTTATAGCCAATCAGATCTCTGGTTTGTTTTAGTGCGAGGTATATCAAGGTCAAGGTCGTCAATGGCGAACGGAGCTTGGCAAAGAGTCGTTTGAGATGAATAAAATAAATGTACTTAAACTCAATATGATATCAGGTTTATGTGTCGCGAAAAGAAGACGATGTGCAGGCTGACATGTGCCATCGGTTTAGCGTGAACTTGACGCGTGGTATTTGTGTACACGATCAAATAACTAAAAAATACATCAGGAAGTTAGACGCTTAAATTCTGAGCAGGGATTTTTTTAGCTTCTGAAGACGCAAGCTCCCAAAGTGCGGCTTCAATATTTTTCCATCTATGTCTCATTATGAAGCACTGACACTGGATGTGACCATATACTGTAAAACGTGAAATTAACGCGAGCGTGAATTAAATGCGAAAAATGCGAGTGGTCTTTGCTCGCATTATTAAACATCGCATTTATATCAACAATAAGACATTTTGGATAGCAGAAATACAAACTTAGACATACGCTGAAAACAAACAACTATGTATTCCACATCAATGTTTATTGAGCAGCACTTGTAACAAGTACATAAACAATGTCATTCAAACACTAATTACATCCTGTGAATTGATACTGCTGGGGTGAAGACAAGCGTTCTACTCACTCAGGTCATCACTTATCACACCTGCAAGTCCAGACAGACGCCACCCAACACAGTGTCTTTGCTCTTGGCGACTGCATCAAAGGCCGACACGAGCCAGCGCGCACGTATTGTTTTATCTGAAGTACTCTACTCAGCGCTAATAAGCGGTGCTATTTGGTGTGTGATTGGATTAATGTAAGGTTGGATTAAGGTGAGGATTCTCCTGTAAACCTGACAGAGGACGTTTTGTTTAGATATAAATCCACTGATGCTTGAGAGGAGGGGGTGTCGCATTCATATTGAGTCGCATTTTTGGCTAGGGGCCAGCGGTCGCATTCTTTTGGAGACGCATTAATTTCACGTTTTACAGTATCTGGTAGGTTCATTATATTATTTAAAAAATCTTGGTTGAAGCTGAAACTGAAATAATGTCTAACCTCGATACAAAATCCAAGCGCCACCCATCCCAGGATATCGTGGGAAGACAGCCTGAACTGTCGCAGGTGGATTTCACAGCTATAGTGCTGTTGATAACCAAGGATCATATTTCAGAGCGAACATGGTATTCCTGTTAGACATATGTATGCTGTAAAGACGTTAGCACCATACTGGTGATTGTCATACCGATGTCAGCTTATTGAAAGTCGCCAAAGGCTTCAGAACAATGTGTCCTACGTTTTTCGTTCAGATCTATATTCACATAGAGAAACAGTAAAATATCAGCTTAGTAATACGACTACCAAACTTTGTTTCATACGCAGGAACTCCTTTTATTGCCAATCAATAGAAAGATTTGTCCAATGCCCGAGACACTTCCGACAGAGCATACTAATTTGATTGGATGATGCTTATTGCCGTAATTACCCGAACACATGAGTAGTTTATCGTGTCTGGATCAAATGTATAATAGTGCTTCTTTGAATGCGTGGACATGCCGGTGGAACACACACTTCCATCTGAACGTGTCATCACACGCACGCACGAAACAACGCACACACGCACACACTCACGAATGCACATCGCTATATAAGTGCAATAATCTTGAACTGAACGTTAAACCCCGTTTCACTTCACCTTGTCATCAGGTCATCGAATCAGAGGAAGAACTACTCCTCCGTAGCGACCTCAACTCCGTGTATGTAACGCTGTCACGGACGTTGGAATGGCTTTCTCCATAAATGTTCAAAAGGAAGCCCGTAAATAACGAAGTAGTATTAGGTTTTAAAGGGAGGTTTTCATCTTTTGTTGTTTGTCTTAATAACATCTATAAAGCCATGTTGTTTTAACCTTATTACGAGTGTTATGTTGACGTAAAATGGGAAGCGCTTGTGACCGAAAAATATTAAGTACTACACAACAACCAAGTCGGTTTCTCCAAAGCTCGTGTAGGGTTGTCTACAATTACTGCTCTTTAACCCCAGAAAAATGTGTTAAATCGGGTCCACTCGGCTTATTCCGCTACCTATATAATATAATCGGGTCCACTCGGCTTACTCTCCTACCTACATAATACACTCGGGTCCACTCGGCTTATTCCGCTGCCTACATAATACCACGGGCAGTATAAAGTAGCCATATTGCATGAATATAATGTAAAACGGGGGATTCCAGATGGCGGCCCGTGTAGTTCTTATGACATGATGGCTGTTTTTTGAAGGCAGATTATTCTGTGTTTAAACTACACTAAGTATACACTTGAAGACAATGGTATATAGCAACAACTTAAACAGTTATGTAAGGTTCACAACTGCCGCCACGGATCTAGTTCCGCTTGTCGCGCCATCAACAATGGTTTACAAAGTCCTTAAAAGGTTTATTGCTTCAATATGCATCTTCTCGAGGCAAGGGCGTTAACTGTCTATAAAAGTCCACGTTCCACCCTTGCCACGAACTAGGTTGGAATTGTGTGGCTCGATCGCAGCGCCACCATGTCCATTACCAGATATGTCCCTCCTATTGACCAATCAGATTCCACCTCTCATATCACTTGCACAGTCAAGACGATCTGATCGATAAACAAGATCTATATTTAGCAAAACGGGTCGTACCTCGCGAAAGGCATCAAATCACTTGAGAACCTTGATTAAAAACTTGAAAAGATTGTAAAGATGCACTGCAAATCCTGCAGTCGACCGAAATCTGCAATCCATGTTGTTTACGAACCGGATATCTTGTTTGTTACGCGTTTTTATTTGACTATGCATCTCTTTAGACCAACTCCAGAATTACAGGCTTGTTCGGCATGGGGAGAAACTGGATTTTTTATATTCATTTAACTGCCTTGCCACCAGGAAGATGTTCATTAGTACATCTTCGGCCTTTAAAATGGTTTCATCTGTAAAATATATCAGCTTAATGAAACAAATAGTTTTATCTCAACTATGTGTTCCCTTTTCAGTATGTGTTTTATATTTAAAATGTGTTTATGTGTATAGCTTTGCTACAATTGGTTCTAGGGGGCACGGGTGGCCCATTGTCAATCGTCTAAGGCGCCGCGATTCGCTGTGCAGAGTTGCGTCCTTGGGCACGCCAGAAACCTATGATTGTGGGTTCCAATCCCGGTTCGCCCCTATTATGTTTCTGGGTTTGTCAGCACCATACCGTGCTCGCGGGTTCCACCGAAGTGGTTAACGTCTAAGACCTGCATTACCTTGGGCTTTCCTCCCACATTTAGCTGACACGCCGTGATATAACTGGAATACTGTTAAAAGCGGCGTTAAACCCAACTCACTCACTCACTCACTCACTACAACTGGGTCTATCATCAACAACAGTACCGTTTTGTCTGTGATACATGTTCCATATATAGTGTATCTGTTCTACATATATACATACGCAGTTGCCCAAATTTGACATGCGCACTATACACATCGTTCCGATGTTCTTACATACAACGTCCAACATACTTACTAAAACCTACATTTCAGCTGTCACCAGAATACTCGCCTTATATAAAATTGGCTCAGCGATCAATCGATATCGCACCGTGCGTCAATGGTGAGGCAGTGTGTATCATAGACGATTGGTCAATGCATCCCGGCGGTAGCGCAGTAATACGACAGCGACAGTTTATTGGGTACACAATCGGATGCTACACAAACTAATGATGTAATGCACGGTATCCAAGTTACAGCATACATACATGTGCAAATGGCTCTTGCAGTAACAAGCACGTATCCAGCAGTATATTATTATTTGATGATATCATGCAAAGGGCAGCATTATTGCGTGGCCGATGGCAATTAAAACAGACACATGTTCGTTGTCGATATGTGATTTTATTGCAACTAATCGATCAGATCGGATCGATCAAGACGCCTGTTGGATGGAAGCTAGGGTGGAGAGACACAACACAGACACGATCTCGAGATACACATACATAATACACGAATACCGATACACAGGGCGTGCACGCTGAGCTCCACCGGGAAGTCAACAGTTATCTTCCCTTTGTGCCTTCAATGTAGTGACGTCATATCCGCTCTCAAATTTGAGAGGAATGAGTAAGTAACACGTACATTACCCCGCTCATTCCACCGTATATTCAATGCTGGTCTAAAACGACAGAGCATGTCCTACTTTCAGCGAGTTCGAGCTCAGAGTGTTCGTTTGAAGGGCGGTTACTATTTTTTTTACCAGCCTCCAAACGAAAACTGCCTCTGTGTTCTGATGAAGAAAAAACGAACTATTCATACAAATTCTACTGGTTCTAAGCGTGGCCGGTTACTTACAACGGTTACATCTCTAAAACGGGCCTAATTAACATAAATGTCGCAATATTACGACAAAAGTAACAATGGCGTGAACCTAGTGGACGATGTCCAGCGACGTGATCCCGCCGGGTCAGAAGGTGTGTAGGACCCCTGTTTACACACGACTGACCGCAGAAGCAGGACGACTGACCATGTACACCATTCGTGACTACTCGTGTCATTCCGGTACAAGCCGAATGGCTGGTTACGGAAAAGGGCGAGTGGTGACGAAAGCATGTAGACGTCTGCAATCGGTATTGACCATTCACAATCTGCCACGTGACTTGACTCAAAATGTACGTCTTCGGTAGTTTATTGATATTTAGTATAATTTTGAAGTTCGTCGAAGAGGAACACATGATTTTATTGAGGATGGCGACTTCTTTTGCAGTTCTTTCCCGCATCAAATCTCCTTATTGCCCTTTCATCGGCAGCTTTACAAGCAATGAAGTGGATTAGAAATGAAGAAGCGATCTTGTCACAGAAGTATTTAGTGGTGCGTTTTCATGCTGCCGGGAGTTGTTTTCCTCGACATACAGAGCCTGACACAACAACTCCTGAACTATTACACCAGCCAGTATATGTACACGTGATTTTAACGTTTCCATAATGAGTATATTTTGCTATACACAAACAATTCAAACATTACAAGACGATTAAAACAGCACATTCTGACAGTATTTTGAGAGCTAGCATCATAATAACATCGTATCAAGTTATACTATATATAGTTTGTTATTCATGTATGAACAGATATATGGCGCATTGGCATTTAGTCGCATGCATACACAACGAGCTTTTTTCCCAGGCTGAGTTTACAGAGAAATTAGGAACAAGCCCGTCTGTTGCTGTTCGAACAGTCTGAATTATTTCGATCTGGTCGTGTTGCTTCAAGAATGGCACGACGCGCCTACAGAAGCTTCTACGCTAATGAGTAACATCGCTTCCTATCCATCATCCGTAGTGCACCTCGCTAACAATGTCAGCACTTGATGTTGTATTCACGAATAGATGGCACTAATGCACGTCTACAGATTTACCACCACAACTACTACATACGTTCTCAGTGGGATAAAATCGTATAGAACCGACTGTTTTTCCTCTGATATTTATTAATGATGATATACATGTGTATATTTAACTTTGTTGCTAAAGGTCAGATCTTCATTTGTGGTTATATTTAAAACTAACTCTGACTTACTCATTTACATAACATAAAGGCTATTCGTACGTATTTATGATAAAACGGATATAAATACATTGTCTTTTCCATATATTTTTTAGATTTAAACATTTGTGTAAACGTAGATATTGTTCACAACGATTGTGTTTCTCAAATATGATCTCTTTAACAGGAGAATTAAATTTGAGTCATTCACAACCCATGGCAAAATGATTCCTTGGCAATACCCACAGTAGACAGCCTACACGAGAGCGCCCTCTGGCGTCGACTAGGTTGACAATACAGTGTATAAGGATCACTTCTAGGATGTGAAAGAAAGATGGGATGGCAGAGAATAAGCTGCCACTCTAGATAACGATGGTCCTTGATGCGGACCCAATATACATACACACCAGACACCGTTCACGAACACACGTCGCCATATGACGTCACACCAGTCAAATGAGAAATCAGTCACGTGATTGCGGTTTGAATACCATAGTGACGGTTGACCAATGAAAATCGGACACGCCATAGAATGTCGTTGTAGGTATGTATCTGACTTTAAATCAAACATTTACACGTGAATGATTTCTTGTTTGAGTTACGTCATCTTATGCTTGAGTTAGGTTGGATTTTGTACCCCTTGAAAGTTTTAACGTGCCACTAACTTCACTCATTGTCTGCATAAATAGATTTCTCCACTTAAGACATTTGTTTTATAACCGGCCAATGATGCATAAGATGATGTCACGTGACTATCACGTGGTGTAACGCGTCTTAAACACCAACGAACAGTCAAAATGAAAACAATACATGTATACACACATCTCCCGTAACGAAATGCAAGAAATATACACATTAATCTCTGTAAGATTAATAAATAATAGGTACCGATCAACTAACAACACGGTGACCGTAACAATACGTTACGTGTATAACAAGCAGGTTTGCCGTAACAGTAACGTGTCGGTAAGTAACAGGTATTATCACATACCATTGCTCTACATCCTGAGTAACCATGACTACAAGACATAACTGGAACCACTACACAGCATATGTACACATAATATATGGAACTAAACGGGAGTTCTGCATAGAATACTTCGGACCCCAATCTATAGTCTCCCTAAAGTCTTATCATGCCGGCACGTGTGCAGCCAATGAAGTAAGTTCATACACAAGCGCGTGGGGTGAGTAATGTGGTGGGAGGGTGGGAGTGTTTAGACAGAGGGTTAAAGGTGTAAGGGGTAGGTTAAATATAGAGTCTTTGGGTGGGTGCGGAGGGGGGGGGGGGGGGGTGGGGGGTGGGGGGTGGGGGGTGGTTAGTTACACTCGCGTAAATAGTGGGAGGATGTGGGAGGAATTTCAATCTAATCTTAACATGCAAAATCGAATTCTGTGACAATATATGATTAAAGCTGTCTTTCTTGCAATGGTTTACAAACATTCTCTGTGAGAGAATCATATTAGTGGTTACGACCCCTGTCGATAATTAAATACCAAAGCGTATGGGAACACGTGCGCGCTTACTGGTAATTGGGCGATAAGGGAGAGTCGAGCACACTGGCTCTGTCGGTTTAGGAGGTAGCGCTTCAGTAATATACAGGCATACTGAGGGAAGTTTGACTTAACTAGGGCGGCAGGGGCAAATTAGTTGGATATGGAGCAGCTTGGTCTAGCCTGCCACGACGCACTTCTCAGATTCACATTTCGAGCATGGAGTCTGGAATATATTTCAGATATATTTGAATATATATTTTGAATATGAACACCCTTAACTAAAATATGTTCACTCTTAAAGGGAGGGCAATACACCAGCGAGAACATATATGCAGGTGTGCATCTGTTGTTTATGAATACCATGTATAAAATATGAGTCAGATATAACACTATAGTGTATTCATATTCAATAATGATGAGTATTGTTACGTGAATACAATGTTGTTTTCGTTCAAAAGTAAAAAGGGACATATAAGAGTAAGACTGATATAACTGCTTGGAGAGGGGAACATTGGCGTGTCTACTCTGGGGTGGGACCTGGGGGTAGAGTGAGAGGCTTTGGGGGTAAGGGTGGGGCTGATGCGGTAGGACGGGGTACCTTGTGATATGGTGATGCACTTCACAACCAGCATTGTTACGTCTGTGATTTTTATTAGGTTAGTTACAACAGTTTACCGTTACAAGTATGATCTAGTGACTGAGAGGAAACATCGAATACATAGAAGCTACATGTACACTTAGTGCACAGTAAACTACATGACTAGATACCCACAAGCAATATTTAGGGATCCACATTTTTTCCATTTTTAACATTACTGATCTCGGTGTTAAACCATACATTTTAATAACATGCATAAGAGTCTTCCATGTCTTATGATTCGACTATATCTTAAAAATAACCAAAATATGAATCCAAAAATATTTTCTACTTACAGGATAATGTTATAATTCACCGTGAACGTAAAATGAATATATCTATCAATATCTATCAATATCTATTACCAATAATATCAAGAACATAAGGAGGAAAGTCCGTTATTGGTTTCCAGTAACCCTTATTCTATATTCATTAACATTGGTGATGACTGCAGAACCAAGGCCGTCACAAGACAGGCAGGGACATATGGGACATCTATTTGAAACACGTTAAACTATGTACTACAACACAACGCATTCATTGTTATAAGAAATCCTGTAGAGTTTCTATATGAAGTCACGTCATACAGACGTGTTGATGGAGACTTGATGTCTCCCTATCATACACAGGGTCAAGCCATCTCGAATCATCTTACGTGTTATTCTAACGTATTATTCCCATAAAACAAAACAAACTTAAACCTTTCCCAGTCGGACACACGACCGTAGTGTCTTCGTGCCATGCTAACATACTTAGTCGCTCACGCAAATCTCACGTAACAGAGTTACAATCCCACAAAACTAAATGACCAATTCCATTCTGAAAGCCTATATCAATAATGACGTCATACTTAGTCCTTAATCAGACAAATAGCTCTTCCGTAAACCATTTCCCGTTTTAACATTTTACAAAGCAATATCAACCATGTATTTCAAACATTATGAGATCAAATACACATATTACCTGGATAGCATCTCATTGGCGAAACAACATCTAACATGACGAGGGCATACGAAGCACCCATATTGGCCTTAGCCTCATACCCAGCAGTCATGCATTAATATCCATTACCCAGTCCACAGTTGAATATCCTTTACTCGGATCGTTGTACCATATCCTTGATTCGGTCACAGTATCATATCTTTAACTCATTTCCTGGTTTCATTTCGTAGTGGCATATCCTTTACTTCGGTAATAGTAGCGTATCCATTGCTCAATCATTAGAAGTATACACGTACTCTGTCCGTAGTGGAATATCCTTTGTTCCAGCAATAGCAGCATATTCAGCACTCATTTCCTAGTAAAATATCCACATTGGACACACAACTCATTCACGAAGATATATTTTATACACAACTTATTCCATTTAACTATCCTTTCTTTTAATTGAAACCACGTTCTTCATGGAACCATTTTCGAAAGCAGATCTTACTGTGCTATGCAAGGATAAGCTATCTTTAAGAAGGTGGCTAATGTTGGTTAGTACTACGCCCCCAAGGCTCGAACTCAGACACTGAATGGCTCCAGATGACCATGGAAGCATTGGTGTTAAGTGTCGATGGATTTACAACCACAAGATCTTGGAAGAATGGATACAATGTTCTACACATCATATACAGCAATGCATGTCACGGATTGTTTGATACATGCATATTTCAAATCGATATCACTGTTCACGTGCAGGTGGTACTGTGACAATACCGATTAATGGTGTTATATATACATGTCAATAACACGTAGTTGATTAGCGTTTTACAACCGCGTGCAGAGTAACGGATCCATGAAATATTCATTGGGATGCACCTTGGTTTGGATCATATAAGCTTTATGCGACATTCTCCGTGAGGAACTGAGACTTGGGTTGTAGACGATTGTCACCATTTGATCGTAATGTTCAACAATGTAGTTGTGGCATAATAAAAACGTGCTATACCACTATGCACAACACAGGAAATGATGCCGCCAATGAACACGATTCATATCAAGATCAACCTATTCCCCAAAGAGATTCTTCCGAATCGATATCCATTAAAGATGATTAGAGGACATGATGATGATCTGTCTGTCAATATATTCGTCAGGTCACACAAGGACGATGTGCAGGATCACATACACACATTGTTCATCTCTCACGTTCATGGTCTTGATTGTTCTTGGAGATCATTGATGCAAACACATGCGTTTGTCAGGAACTCATTAGAGGATAATAAAGGAATAGATAGCACAAACAAACACGCAGAGCAGCATTACTTTAACAAGAGTCCTTTGTCCAGAAGCGTTATTACTAATGAGCTAAGAGAAGAGAAATGCTCTCTTCTACTCGTAAATGTAGCTTACCTGCCCCCGGAAATTCACGTAAGGAAGTCAGTTCTCCACACGCCAATTACTGAGCTCTTCAATCGCTAGAGGTGCATGTTTTGGTTATATTCTACACACGAACCGTTGCAGATGCCTGAAAGCGCATCTTGACTCCATATTGAAAAATTGCCAATTCTTTTATCAGGACCTTATTTAAAGTTCTTGTTGCACATTGGACCGGCTCAGTTTCCATTCTAAGCTTCCTGACCATCGTGTGAACGATGCCTTCTGGCAGTGGGACCTTTATCTACATTATCAATGTCACAACATACAGAAATGTACATTAAACTTCATAATCTAATCTCTTTAAGAATATACTCCACTTTACTATACAAATACATCAACATTCCTGATCAAATCTAATCCATGATCGCTTATCACAGTGTTGCCATCTGAACGGTAATCACATGTACCACACCTATATATCATAACTTGAACATTGACAGCATTGACATGCTTCCAAAAATATCACCTATCCCTGAGCCTTACTCCTACCTGATTAGCCATTGCAGCAGCAGGATCTCTCACGTTTATAACAACAAAGTCCGTCACATTACCACACATCTAGAGCCCTCGTTATACTGCTGCACCTGGCTCAAAACTGCTTTCACACTGGTTTTCCAAAGGTTTGCAATTTTACACATTGGATACAATAGGACGTTCATAAAAACCTCCTGAAATATGCCTGTTTCGATAATTCATGTATAAATGGTATTGACACATTCAGTACATATGTATCATCATTTTGTAAACTAACATAAACTCAATGCGACTTGTCGAAAAATCATAATCGCTAAAAAAGGTTAATATCAGATTCCATGATTATTACTGTGATCCAACAAGTTGGGCATCACTGATTTGCTTTGCATGGAGTCATGCCTGTAGAAATTTGCGCAAAAATGACACTTCTCATATACTACTGGCCAAATGTGTTGGAGGAAACAGTCATGCCGCTTGACCATATAACTTTGGTTCTGAGGTAACTAAAACCAACACAGGTATATTAGATACGGTAACATCAATACGTTGTGAATACGCATTAGCCTTCAGGTGATCAATACGGATGAACGGTGCTTCTAATGGGGTGTTTCCACGTCTATAAATGAGTCTATTATATGCTCTTGGTAGGAATGTGTCCGTGTGTGACGTAATCAGCTTTATTTCGCGTTATAACGAAGTGTTGAAGGAACCAGAATGACAGATTCAGCAGCCTGAAAGAAGCTCTGTGATGAAAAGCACTAGCGCCCTCTGGTGGTGTACCGCAAGGGATTTAACCCCGTATCGACTACATCTACTATGATTGCATCTGGGTAGGACTGGATACGGCATGGCGTCCATCTACTACACTGGACATTCGGTTTACTTGTATCCATGTTAGCTGCTTACAATAGGCCTTGACCTTGTCAACAGATGTGCCGGTCATTTCCTCATTCCCGTAGTTTCTGATAGATCCGAGGAATGACAAACGTTGCTATGGCAATTGTGAGATACGTGGGAAGATGAGGTATGACAGCTGGTCCCATATTACATAGCGATTCCCCACAGTGACAATACCGGATGCGAACACCCCTCGTGCCACTGCGGGCGATGCACCCGGGTTTACCCATCGACCCACACTGGCGGATTATACGGACTTCATCCGGTACTGAAAACAAAACGTACCTTGTCAATATTAACATCACATCATTATCTCTAAGATCAAAGTTTCAAGATTGTTTAATCCATAATTATTATGATGAATACATTACCCGGCAAATAATAACGCGTGAAATTATTAAAAGGTATCTTGTAAACATAGATTCATCGACAAGAGCCAATCAGTACAAATGATAAAAATGTCGTGCCGAAAAGAGAACGGGAAACAGTCTAAACGAAATCGAAAGCAAAAACGATTAGCCATTTTGCTCCCCTCCCTCCTTATTCCGAGTGAAGCAATTTGCATCTCTTGTACTTACAGACGGAGACGATTTCCGTTATTCTAAACTTAATCGAAGTACAGTCAAACTGACACAAAATCATCTATAACACCTAAACCCATCTCGGTGTTAACTTCAACGTCGTCATACATAGCTGGATGTCTTTAATTATACCAGCACTGAGAATCATTTCGAAGTTATAGTTTTTTCCAAAAAGTGTATTGGCTTTCGTTGTTTCAACACAACTCAACATGTAACAAACAGTCAACTTAAAAACGAGTGCAATTGACATCTCAAGATATACGCTGTTGGGAAGCGACCAAACAAGCGCAGTCTGGAGGAAATTATTGATTTGTACTCCCTTGATTTGTCAAGTAGTTCGTTTAGAAAGGGAGATAATTCTGTTTACTCACGTTCTTGGACCATTTTGCGGCAGACGGTGTACGTCTTGTTACCCTCAAGGAAATCACACCTCTGCTTGTACATATATTGTTTTTCTTCCGGCAAGTTCCTACAATCATCGCCGTGAAGATAGGAATTACAGATGAAACACTCGATGGCGAGTCCTGAAACAGAAACAAACACAGTCAGGTGGCGCTGACCCGGCTGAGAATGTAAAGTCGTGGACCATTTTGGCAATATCCCCTGCATGATCTGCACGTGCACTTTTGCTCAGCACGTGCAACGTCTGGTATTTCCGCCTGGTGAGGACTGAAGGCACCACAACATAATAGAGAACTCCCAAGGCTGCTGACATTTCGGCTCAGAGTGTTTAGTTCAAGCATTATGTTTTGGGCTTTCAATGTATAACAAGATGGTAATACTTGCACTGAAATGTGTTGGAAAAGATTGTATACAATTCCGAGATTATACAGTAAAATGTTGTTACTACAGACGACTACATTCTTGGAGCGTCTTCTTGTATTTTGAAGGTTTTCAAGATTCGATACTCCGGAAATTTGTTAATCCGGTCGATTCCTTTTGGAACGGTACCACCTGAAATAACGTCTCTTTATTTCAAGTTATTGGCTAAGAGTCGAAAAAATTAACGTTTGTGGATATGCAACGAATAATCGAAGGCCAATGACCCAAGGTATAAGCTCCCAAGGATCCTGAGTGGAGAAATATAATTGATAGAGTCTGTGCACGAGATTCTGTCGTTTGTCCCCGTTTGGTGTTAACGTCAAGCAACTCGCACATCATATACCTACACAATAACCAAACCAGTAGCATGTTCATGGTGTAAACCATGGTGACACTCAACCATATAGCCGTCTACCTAACATCCCTACAATCCTCATGCAAAGCATTCACAACCATTGAGCATTTTCCAGGCTTTACCAACTGTGCCTGAAAACAAAACGGTATTACAAGCAGAGTTGACTTAACGTTTGGAGTCAACCTGAAGAAAGCAATCACCATAAGTCATTATCTTAAACAGGCATTTGAGAAAATTGGGTCAGTGTGAAGATCCACGTCGCATTATCGATCCCTGTGGGCGAGATATCCTCTCCCCAACTGGGCCCTGGTCCGGCATGGTGTGGTCCGGTTTGGAGCACGGAATGGAAGAGAACCTTGGCGTCGTGACGTCACGAGGAGACGGAGGGGGTGGCACGCAATATCATTCATTAAGTTAATGCCCCAATCCAATCAGTTTGCGGTTATACCCGGTCCTCTGTAGCATCAGTATTGAGTTCCAATGAAACAGTCGCGCCTGATAATGGATTTTGGTTTGTGAAGACAAGATGAAAAGAGTTGGCAAATATTTCAATTGGTGAGCTTTATTGCGTAAGGGGAACTGCAGTGTTGTGTGTACAGAGAATCGTTAGATCGATATCTGTCTGCATTAGCGAAAACAGTCATATTTCTTATAATAATACTGAATAAAAAAGGCTCAACAACAGACGAAAACCAATATAATCGTGGCGTCGTATGTTCAACTGAATAGAACCCGAGACTGATTGTTGATGTGACTGAAACTAGAATTGGTATCAGCTATACGAGTCGTTGTAGATAAAGCCTCTTTTCTAAAAAAAGAAATGAATGAAGTAACGATTGTTATAGGCTATAGGTGTTGACAAACCAATTTATATATATATATATATATATATATATATATATATATATATATATATATATATATATATATATATATATATATATATATTTATATATATGATTTCATAACTTTCATGTTATGTGAAGCCAGAAAACATGGTGGTGAACCTAGTTCTTTTCGAACTTGACTTGATTTCATTTTAGAGAAATTAAAATGACAGTGCATAAAAGACCAAACACCCTCTGGATATTTCTCTAGAAGGCGTTTAGAAGTTGGTGGTTCACAAAAACCACAAATACAAAGTTTGGACACAACCTGTTGTACCTCCGCCAGGTCCTAGCCATACCAACTATAGGTTTTGGTGTCTACATTTCACAACTATTTGGGTAGAATCTAGTATGCTCTTTCTACGACTATTTCAAAGAGCGGCTTGCGACTCTTGCTCAAAAGTTGTTTGATCAAAGTTGCATGCTTCAAGCTGTAAATAGATAATTTGTCATCAGGACATACTCCCATAAACATTGTGTTCCCTGGATATGCTGGCTGCCCTCAAAACTGTATAGTGAAAAAAATATAATAGTTCGGCTTGATTTAAAGCAGTGTCCGAAAAACGACCCTTTCTCCCTGTCTCAATAAATCTCCCCTCCCCGCTGAATATTAAGTGATCGGTCCCAAATAGCCAACGCACATAGACATGCAACAAAGCAGAAACACTTTGAAAATAATCAGCAGAGCAAAACTAACACGATAATGAAATTCTGCTGTCACCACAAATACCAGCACTGAATGATGACTTCATGCAATATGTAAACGTTTTCCAAACAGCTGAATAGTAACATAACCGCTGTTGTATTCCTACACCAATATTTGCTCATCATGTGTGCACAGTGTAGTAATCCATTGTCTATTATTGACGTGATAGTACCGGGTCGACACAGGGATTCATAAACCACAGATGATAATACCCTCCAGAAATACTCTTCAAAGAAGCGTTTATACCGCCCCCCTATCGGTCACGTCTGTGTGTCCCTCCGCGTTACGTCTAACAGCCGTGACACAACAGAAACACCCTTCAAAGTAGTGTTTATACCGCCCCCCCTTTCGGTCACGTCGGTATGTCCCCCCACGTTACGTCTAACCGCCGTGACACAACAGAAATACTCTTCAAAGAAGCGTTTATACCGTCCCCCTATCAGTCACGTCTGTTTGTCCCTCCACGTTACGTCTAACCGCCGTGACACAACAGAAATACCCTTCAAAGTGGCGGTCAACCCCGACTCACTCGGTCAGTTGCATGTGCACCTACAGCAAGATCAGAGTCGCATGTAACAACCACGGCATGTGATTCCTATATGCGATAGCATTATGACATAAGCTACAGAATTCTCGTCATTCGGGGCAGGCTGACACCGTGCTGCCAGTTCCTCAGACTCTGGGGGATCAAATAACAAGAAAAGGGCAATAGAACGACTCGGCATCAATAGCTCATCTCGCTAAGGACTGAACAAAGCCTCCACTGTATGGGGTTCCCTCAGTACCTCATTGTATACAATTTGAATATCATATACATTCAAACCGCATTCACAACCTGATTTATGTCTGACTTGAGTGTCTCCGAAGAATCGTGGAGTTAAATCGTAAACATGTTCTTGGAGAAGCTTTCTTGTATTCATAACCGTCATGAATAAATTCTCTATAGTCGGTAGAACGTATTGATTTGTCTGTGCCTTTTATCTCTGGAAGCTCTGCACCTCCACGCACCCTTTCACCTCCCCCCTCCCCTCTGCCAACCTCATCCTCGCCCACCGCCTTTCACCCCCGCTCCAGTCCCTATGCCCCCTGCCCCCAACCGACTGTCACCCATAGCCACCCTTCCAACCCTACCCTTTACCTCATGCCTTCCACACTATCCCCACCTGCCACACCCACACACCCTCCCCCTCCTTCCACCCTAACCCTTCCCGCCGACCTCCCAATCCTTCCATCCTAACCCCTCCTGCCACCCCCACTCATCTTGTCACCCTCCCCATCCTACCACCATAACCCCTCCTGCCACACCCACTTATCCAGCCACCCTCCCCATCCTTCCACCATAACCCCTCCTGCCACACCCTTTCATCCTTCTATCCTTCCACCATTACCCCTGCTACCACCCCCACACATCCTTCCATCCTCCCCATCCTACCACCATAACCCCTCCTGCCACACCCACTTATCCAGCCACCCTCCCCGTCCTTCCACCATAACCCCTCCTGCCACACTCAGTCATCCTTCCATCCTTCCACCATAACCCCTCCTGCCACACCCACACATCCTTCCATCCTCCCCATCCTTCCACAATAACCCCTCCTGCCACCCCCACACATCCTTCCACCATAACCCCCCTGCAACACCCACTGATCCAGCCACCCTCTCCATCCTACCATCCTAACCCCTCCTGCCACACCCACTGATCCAGCCACCCTCCCAATCCTACCACCATAACCCCTCCTGCCACCCCAACACATCCCTCCATCCTCCCCATCCTACCACAATAACCCCTCCTGCCAGACCCACTCATCCAGCCACCCTCCCCATCCTACCACCATAACCCCTCCTGCCACCCCCACACATCCCTCCATCCTCACCATCCTACCACCATAACCCCTCCTGCCACCCCAACACATCCTTCCATCCTCCCCATCCAACCACCATAACCCCTCCTGCCACACCCACACATCCCTCCATCCTCCCCATCCTACCACCATAACCCCTCCTGCCACCCCAACACATCCTTCCATCCTCCCCATCCTACCACCATAACCCCTCCTGCCACCCCCACACATCCCTCCATCCTCCCAATCCTACCACCATAACCCCTCCTGCCAGACCCACTCATCCAGCCACCCTCCCCATCCTACCACCATAACCCCTCCTGCCACCCCCACACATCCCTCCATCCTCCCCATCCTACCACCATAACCCCTCCTGCCACCCCAACACATCCTTCCATCCTCCCCATCCTACCACCATAACCCCTCCTGCCACCCCAACACATCCTTCCATCCTCCCAATCCTACCACCATAACCCCTCCTGCCACCCCAACACATCCTTCCATCCTCCCCATCCTACCACCATAACCACTCCTGCCACCCCAACACATCCTTCCATCCTCCCCATCCTACCACCATAACCCCTCTTGCCACCCCAACACATCCCTCCATCCTCCCCATCCTACCACCATAACCCCTCCTGCCACCCCAACACATCCTTCCATCCTCCCCATCCTACCACCATAACCCCTCTTGCCACCCCCACACATCCCTCCACCCTCCCCATCCTACCATCCTAACCCCTCCTGCCAGACCCACTCATCCAGCCAACCTCCCCATCCTACCACCATAACCCCTCCTGCCACACCCACTCATCCAGCCACCCTCTTCATTCTTCCACCATAAGCCCTCCTGCCACACCCACTCATCTCTCCACCCTACCCATCCTACCACCATTACCCCTCGCGCCACACC